TTCTTACCTTTGCTATGGGTTCGGAACTGGAAGCGCACATGTGCATGCTCATTTTACTTGCGCACGATGCTTCTGAGCATGCACAGAGCATCCGTGATGATGTCTGGGTGAGTGGGTGGAGCCTCCCTTTGCTGCCGCTACTGGTTTACTTGAACCGGGGTGAACCGGCAGAATACTACTTCTGCCACATCTATTGAGCCACGGTAGAGCAGTGGTTAGAGTGCAGTACTGCAGGCCATTTCTGCTGCCTTCCAGCTGCCTACAATTTGGCAGTTCAAATCTCACCAGGCTCAAGGTTGACTCAGCCTTCCATTCTTCTGAAGTGGGTAAAATGAGGACCCAAATTGTTGGGGCAATATGATGACTCTGTAAAACCATTTAGAGAGGGCTATAAAGCAGTATATAAGTCTAAGTGCTATTGCTGTAATATTTCCCAAAAGAATTTGGATGTAATTTATTCCAAAGTATAGCACTATGGCGATATTTCCTGCCATTATGCGGACCCTGCCATTATGTTTATGATTTTCTGGTTTATCCATGCAGCAGCATAGTTAGGAGATAATAAGATTGCTTGAATGAGTTCAGAATTCTATATATGAACTGACTCCATATATGAACTGTGCATGGTGGCATCAAACTATGTCTTTAACTGTGAAATCTTATTTCTGATATGAGGACTCATGGGGAATTGGAGGTGTGGGAGGAAAAACAATTGAACAGACTTCTGGGTAAAAACAGAGGGTCAGGGAATGCTTAATTCTGGGTATCCTTCAATACTTCAAATCCACTCCACGGCCTTCATTAAAAATCACTGGGACAGAATTGTATCTGAAAAATCTGCTACAAACATATACTCTGGAACTTAATCATGACTGGATAATTTTTAACTTTATTGTAACTTATTTACATTATTTAGAAGCTGTCCAACTCTGGGTGGCTTACATTTTAAAAAGCAGGAACAATGAAAACAAATAAATAAAAAACAGATCATAGATATCCAGTAAAGAAAATATAATCAAACTCAGATTTTTGGAAGAATGTGAACTATGCATGTTTATAAATGACATTAACAATTATATGTTTATCATTTAGGAAAATTTAGAAAAGTTTGTAGTAATGGATGCATACTTTAAGGAAATAATCGCATTCATCTTTATATTTTCAGGTGATGACAGAAATATTGAGGGGGTGTATGTTGCTGGCAAACTGGTGGTTCCATTTTCAAGCTCTGTGTAAATTGGATTCCCATTCTGAAAAATGCTCAACTAGTTATCGTTTGATTTGGAAGAACTGGGCAGAAATGCAGTGCCTTGTTGTTATGCTGCTTTTATTTAGTATGTTTCTGATATGCACAAGAAAGGTGATCAACTTGGCGGTGACAAAACAAATATATATATATATGCCAAAAATCTATCTCTTTTGAACAGGACAGAATATAACTCTAAAATCCCAAATCCTAAAAATGTATCTGATGAGAATTTAGAGATCTTATTTGTGAATATATTACAATTACTCTCATTGACTTAGAAACAAAACACACTTGTTTTGGGTGGTGTCCATTTTCTACAACTTTTCTCCTTTAATAGACATCATGTGATCTTGGCAGGGTTTCCCAATCAGGAATTGAAAAATCTGTTTCCTTTTCTCTCTTCAGGGGAGTGACATGTCTCCTGAACCTTTCACCTTTCCATTTGTCCATCTAGAGTGCAGATTGTTTAACTGCAAATATGGCATGATGAATGAGGATATAAAAAGAAGAGAGTCAGCTCCCATGTTCACAGTTTATGTCACCCAGGATGGCTTTGTTCACACATAACGCAAAGCTGTAATGTGGTTATTTTAAATTTGGATTAATATGATGGATTCATTATGGATGCATTTCAAGTGAGAAAAAGGCCCTTTTTAGTATGAGGATAAGGCTGTAGCCTTGATATTTTATTGATAGGGGTCAATTGGGTGCAATCTAATTAGAAGTGTTTGTTCAAATTGTAAATTCATTCTTACCCTACAGTTCAAAGCAATCTTGACAATCAAATCAATATGGAAAAGGGGGCTTTTGTTTTAGAATATGATCTCTGAGTTTAATATTTGTATAACTGCTCTATTTTACTCTGAAAAAGTCTATAAAGCACATAGGATAAATATTCAGTAAATAGAACAATTAAACTATTGTTTTTTTTTTACCTTGCAACCCAGAGATGGCAGGTATAAGTATGATAGATTTGCACAAAACACTTTTGGAGGAATGTGTGCTTTTTAGGATCATTATTGGTTTTTCTAGTTTTGGGGAGGATAATTTTAGAATTCTATTATGCAGCAGTTGCCTCTGAGAGATTCTCAGTGGGAAATAAACTTTTGTTGATAATTGTATAAATAAAATAAGACACTTTTTAAAGGGATTTGTCTCTAAACATTTTGGAAAGCCTGTTGAAAACTGTCAACCATCTCTCAGTACACGCGATGCCTTCTTCATCCGCCTCTTTGTTCCCCCTCAGCATGAAGTTGAGCTGAAAAGGTTGGGGCAGCTGGAAAAAGAGCCTTGGAACTTTACGTAGGAGAAAAGAGAAGTCTAAATGTCTGTTTTGTGAAAAAGAAGCATTTTGAATGATAAATTGAAATTATTTGAATTTCCATCTTACTGTACCATTTATTAACCTTCTGTTTGAAGATATTAATGAGAACGAATATAATTTGTGCTTTGTGGAGTTAGTTGAATGATTTTGGTGTGGCTGTTGGATTTCAGCAGTATAAAATGTTGACTTAGCTTTACTATGCATGCTTTACAATATTTGCAAAACAGAAGTCTAGGGGAACTCAGGAAAGGAACAGCACTTTATTCACTTATCTATTTTATTTTACTTTTTCAAATATAGTAAGCCTGTGAAAGGAGGAAAAAAATGGTCCAACCTCTGCATTTATGCCAAAAACAAACTTTTATTCCTGCTGATAAAAAAAAAGTCAAATATGCATTAGAAGTCAAGGAAGGAGAAATATAATATTTCACAGAACTATATTTGTTGCACTAAGAAGTTAACTTGATTTAGTTTTATAGTTTGAGTATCAGCATTTTAGTGAACTCAGCTAGCCATGAAATATGATGGTTAAACCATGGCTTAACATGATCTGTCCACCTATTACAGGTCTCATTCATAAGATATGCTAAAATTGTCTTTATCTTATTTAAATACATACTATAGAGTATATAATATATACTGTATTAATAATAGTATACTATTTGATTATATTAAACTAAAATATATTTATACATATGTGTTGACAAAGTCATATAAAATTGAAATGAAGGAATAAAGAAAAGTGGAAAAAGCTTGGGAAATTAAACAAGAAACAAAGTATTTAAGACAGAACTAAACTTTAAAGTCCTCTTTAGAAATATAGAAATTCATTTTTTCCAGCAAACCAAATAAATGATAGATTAGCATCACCTACAAGACCAATTGCCTAGTTGGGTGGACTTTACTCTTGGTGTGAAAACAATTATGATGTGTTGGGAGTAGGAGTGAAGGAGTAAACGTTCTCATTTATACCCTTTGGAAAAACCAATTACCTGGATACTATGTTCTGCTGTTGATATTGCCTATCATGTACTGATTTCCATCACATCGTAAAACCATTTAAGCGCATTTTTCATCTCTTGTTTTGTCTGGTCCTCAAATCAATATAACTAAAAGTATGATCCTTTAAATGGTATCTGTTTATAAAAGTATAGCATATTCATATCACTAATAAATTTGGAAAGCTGCTTGGATATATTGCTAATTAGAGCGGGAACGTGTGGGAGAGAAGTTGGCCTCAACAGCATTGGGGTAGGCAGAGTCAAAAAAGGGCAACATGATGGTTATGGAGTCTGAATTGCCCCACCCCTTTCCCTACACCTCCTGCACATGGCTTTCTCTTTTTCACCCGCATTCCAATCTTGGTATGAAAAGTGCTTGGCATGAAGAGTGCTATAATTTTATTGTACAGCTTTTGGTTGATAGGAAAAAATGATGTGAATTAATCTTACCAGATTTTTATTTTTCTGACTGTATACTTTCAAATGCAACTCCTCCCCCCCAAATAATTTGTTGCTGTGTATTCCAACTGCTTGATTATTGTTAGCTATAAATGAGCCCCTCTGTGCTTGGTTAACAGAATAAAGAAGATATGTTTACTATGTTTACATTGGTTCATTTCTTAATGTTTTGAAGGAAGTGGAAAAAGCATAATCCACTGATTGACTCCAGAGGAACGCATGCATTGAAGAGAGGATACTGAAGATAAAAAAATTCTCAAATAAGGTTCTCAAATAAAGCAAACCCCTCAAATTGAGGGAAAAACATATCTTTGCATAAGGTTCAACTCCCTTGTTGTCTACCCACCAAGGTTGTGCACATCCTTTAACACAGCTGCTTCGAAACATGCTTTGGAATTAATGTTCAGAGTTTGGAAACTAAATTATATAAGCTTTAACTATTAATTCTAAACTATTAATACCTAACTCCTCCTTAGCTCCCCCTCCCCCATTTATGCCAGCATCACCCAGGGGCTGTTTTAAGGTGTACAAAATCTGTTAAGCTTTCTCATTCATTGCCCCGGAGAGAGGTTAGGTGACTGGCACGGTGCTTTGTTATTAGGGGCAGAAGAGGATTACCATTGGGGACAGAAAATGTCACACCAGGCCTGTTTTCTGCCAGGTGAAGCTCAGCTCATAATGGCCTTGAGTAAATCTCTCTCAGCATAGCCTAAACAACCCTCTTGCTTTTTGCAAGTGAGGAAAAGTTGCATTATTTCAGCAGGCTTTGATTCCTTAACTGTACTTGGGAAGCCCGCATTGGTAGTTTCTTGTCATAGATTTTTAATGTTTAAATTTTAAAATTGTTTGCTGCCAAATATTTGTATGGATCAGGGAGGCCTGTGAATGTTGTTAGCCAGCAAACTAAACTGAACAGAAAGCTGGAAATGGAAAATATATTTAGTTAATATACATAGGATTGCATTGCTACTGAGTCCAGTTCCATCCTTCTATGTTAGAGAATCTGTTGCTCTCAGTTTAATTTCTTTTCTACAAGTAATCATTGCAGGGATCTTATAAGGGTCTGTCTCACAGCTACATGCTGGATAAAAAGGGTGAAGAGAGAAAGAATTACATTCACTCACCAGTTTAGGATCTAGCCCCATCACCAGTGATAGTGATATTCCTATTCTAGTGAAATTTTATCCAAAAGAATCCAATCCTAAAAACCCCAGCAAAATGGTATTAGAACTAACTTACAAGCTTCCGTAGCAATAGAAATTTGGAAATCAATCTATTAAGTCTTGTAAAACAGCAATATCTTAAATCAAGAGGTCAAACCCCATTCCCTCCTAGCACTGATGATGTTACCTAGTTTGGGTAATGAAACATCTGCAAGAAAACCACCAAGCTCAGGGAGCACCAAGAACCTCTCATTTCAACCCTGAGCTATAAATATTATCCTTTATCAATACCTTAAATAGCTGTGTTCAGTGGAAAGAGCAATCATTTCATGAAATATCTTGAAACCTTCACAAACAAACAATTGGTGAAAAGCAACATCTGCTCGCCTGTCTGGAAAATAACTTGTTTACCAACTCCTTGAGAATTAAGATGGCTTTTTTTACATTTATTTTTACAAAAATAGATTCAAATTGCATTGGTGTCGCACCATTCCCTCTGGGAAGGAAGCGTTATAAACTTGCTATTTGATTTGTTGTCAGAATCTTTTACAATCAGCAGGAACACAACCCTTTTGATGAATTCAGACCAAATGCATTTTCATGAATTTATTTCCACAACTCAGCTTTGGATGGCAGCACACGGACTAGAAGAAAGACTGGAATGAGCCACTTTCCAGCATATATGAGAAATAGCCAGTTCTTTGGCATATAAACATTAACCATTAAAAAAAAAAGACTTATGGCTT